TTTATAATTGACTGGATTGATCTCCTTGCAGTCCAAGGGACTCTCAAGGATCTTCTCCAACACCACAGTTCAAAAGCATCATTTCTTCAGTACTCCACTTTCTTTATAGTTCAACTCTCACATCCATACATGACTACTGGAAAAACCACAGCTTTGACTAGATGGACCTTTGTTGGCAAAGTAATGTCTCTACTTTTTAATACGTTGTCTAGGTNTGCTTTCTAAGACCCACTTGACTTCACATTCCAGGATGTCTGGCTCTAGGTGAGTGATCACACCATCATGATTATCTGGGTCATGAAGATCTTTTTTATACAGTTCTTCTGTGTATCCTTGCCTTCTTAATATCTTCTGCTTCTGTTAGGTCCATACCACTTCTGTACTTTACTGTGCCCATCTTTGCATGAAATATTTGTTCCCTTGGTATCTCTAATTTTCTTTACTATTGTTAGACAACACTTATTAGTGTTATTACTAGTGTTAGCACTATATATCCCTTGGTATCTCTAATTTTCTCTACTATTGTTAGACACATTATTATTAGTGTTATTACTAGTGTCAGATAACAGTATATATTGTTCACAACACTATTGTTGGAGGAAAAAGACAAAGGTAAGGAAGATGATGAAAAAATATGAAGAGCAGTTGTTGGAGTGGGGGACTGTAGTCTAGGTGATGTTTTTTCATGTTTGTACTTCCATGTTTAGGTTTTCCACATTTTCTTGAAAGCACAATGGATCAGTCTTATCATTAAAAAAAGTTTAAGACTTCCACAATTTGAGATGAGTCTGTGAAATCAAACTTCAAATGATGCATAGGGGTCACTACATTTCCTCTGTGCACACGCGCGTGTGTGCTAAGTCGCTTCAGTCGTGTCCGACTTTGCAACCCCGTGGACCGTAGCCCGCCAGGTTTCTGTGTCCATGGGATTCTCCGGGCAAGAATACTGGAGTGGGTTGCCATTCCCTTCTGCAGGGGATTTTCCCAACCAGGGATCGAACCTGCGTCTCCTCTATTGGCGGCAGAAGCCCCAGGTTTCCTCTCCTTAATGCAAATGAAGGCTCATGGAACATGGTTGTTCTCTGAAGCCAGCCGGAGCTCCTCAGAGCTACTGGAACAGAGCCTTCCAGGGCAGCCGCCAGGATGCATGGAACTCTAACAAAAGCCAGTATGCCCACATTACCCATGAACTGAGGAGCTATCTTATTCCAAAGACAAAAAAAAAAATCAACCAATCAATAACGCAGACCTGAACACAAGCTACTAGCCACTCAATTAGCTGCTAAGTCACAAGGACAACCGATGATCTGTATAACTCACTAGAATTAGTCACTGCAGCTACTAAAAATAAGCAGCATCAGAATTGTATGTGGACTGATTGTGACGTCAGTTGGCTTGTATTACCTGCTAGACAAGTAAGGCAGATAGGCCGTCTTCTATTCTTAACCCAGAACCATTGTACTCAGAGCTAGAAAGTGACAATATTNCTATTCTTAACCCAGAACCATTGTACTCAGAGCTAGAAAGCGACAATATTCCTTTCCTCTTTGTAGAACTCAAAATACGCTAAATGTTTCCTTATAACTTTTTAAAAAATTGAACAAAAAAAAAAACTGGACTTCCCTGATAGTCTAGTAATTAAGAATCCACCTGCCAATGCCGGGGACACAAGTTCAACCCATGGTTCGGGAAGATTCTACATGCCGTGAAATAACCAATCCACAACTACTGAACCCAAGTGCTACAGCAGGAAAAGCCACTGCAATGAGAAGCCTGCTCACTGCGACTGAACAGCCCTGCTCCCCTCGACTGGAGAAAGCCACGCAGCAAGAAGACCCTGTGCAGCCATCAACAGATAAATGAATCGAACAACAAAACATTTCGTGCCGAGGACTGAAATTCGTTCTAAGCCTTGCTTCCAGGATACAATTATACACGGTGCTGGACACTGGGAGAAGGGGGTGCTGCCCCTGGAAGCCGGGTCTTCTCAAACCTCCACAGTCACCTGATGTTGGCCAGTGGCACCCCCCAACACTGAGGCCTGCAAGAGTCGCAGGACGGCTACGTGGCTGCCTCTGCAAGACACGCACCTCAAAGACACCGCACGTGCAGACCGCCGAAATCATCTCTCCCCCTGCCCGGTAATAAAGAAGAGGGATTCAACTCTACGTCTTCACCATCTTTTCTGTATTCTCAGCACCCCTACTCCACGCAGAATCTCTGTCCACTTTTCACTGTGTAGCTTTCCCATTTCTGTCTCCTCACACATCCTTGCTCCTGCAGCAAGGCTGGACTTAGGTCTATCCAAGGCCATTACCCGTGCCCTGAACCAACCCGACCCTATGCTGCCTTTTGAAGTACAAATGACACCTCTCCAGTAACCTGTCCAAATCCACACTTTATTTAAACTCTTCCAACAAAGCAGTGCTAAGGCACCAGACCCAAAGGATAAATGCCTTCAAATAGCTTTTAGTTCTAAAAATGTGTTGTCAGAGAGAAGAGCAAAGGCATGTACCACATATATATCCTCAAAATGAGTAATGTAATACCTGTGTTGGCTCTTCTTATAGTAACTTTAATACAGGATATATTATATTATACAGACTATGACATATATAGTAAATATTATAATACAAATGACAATCCCAAAAGATGGCCACAAAAGAGGGTCAGAGCATATCCATGGAAACAGAGGTTTGTTTCTACTGTAGAAACTGTAGAACATAATCATTCTCTCCAAACACAGACTAACATTACTTGTAGCTAAACATTTCTCCATCTTAATTAAAACAAGGACTTGATGTAATGATCTCTATGGGAAAACAATCTAAAGAAGAGTGGATATATGTGTATGTATAACTTTGCTGTATACCTGAAACACAACATTGTAAATCAACTACACTCCAATAAAAAAAATTTAATTAAAAAAATAAAATGCAGACTTGATATCCCACAAACACTTTCACTTTTTTTCACTTCATCCCACATCTGAAGTTAAGTTTCCAGTTTAGGACTTTAACTGTAAAGTAAAGTTTTACTTTAAAGTTTACATGTAAGTACATGTAAACATGTACACTGTACATGTTCCATTGTGGAAATCCATTTATTTACTGTTGAGGTCTGACATAAGTCTTACAGTGGACTAAGTCATTAACTGGGGAGAAGGTATACCTCGTGCCTAGTTTTAAAAGCATTTAGTCAATAAAGTTTCCAATGAGCCATAACACCGGGAAGCCATCCATCCTCTTTCCCTTCTCTTTCTGACTCTAGGCCACTACCTCCACCTTGTGGCCAGAGCTAAACTTTGGGGGTCACGGTTTCAAAGTCTCTTCTGGAATCTAAGAGCAAATACAAGGTAGAAGCTGCTTCTATTACTGAGAGCCATCACAGAGAAGGTATTGACCAAGTAAAGTTCTCACAATACCAACCAGGGTGAGAATTCCACTTAGTCACTTGGTTACATCTTGATCAACAATTACCAATAACAAGTTTGTGGGATGTTAGGGGCTTACACAAGAATTTTCAAAACTAACGTGAATGGAACTGGCTACTGTCTATCCTGAAAATTAAACAGGAGAACTTCAGAACAAGATGTTTTTAAGCTGAGAGAGGTGGAGGAGTCTTCTAAATTTGGAAACTGCACCTGAATTCCAAAGAGGAACAGTAGGACTAGATTACTCTGGGTTTTTTTTTTTTAAATAGCCAGTCTGTGGAAATGGAACTTGTTTATTCTTTAACCTAGAAGGAATTGAAAAAAAATTTCAAGGCCATTATTCAAAGTCTTGGAAAACACCGTAACCCATCCTTTGATATAGGTAGATAGAAGAATAATACAAAAAAATAAAAGTCAGTTCAATTAGTTTAAAATAAACCCTCATTTTCTCTTACATCTGATAATTCCAGAACGATTCAGTCTCAAGTACAGTGATGAAATGAGAATGGTCCTGAGGGTGATTCAAAAACCAGTTAGCATGGACTAAGATCCACATATGAAAGACGTTAAAGTTGGGATAAATCAGACAACTTTGCACAGAAGCCTTGGCCAAATCATCAAAATGATGATTGGGATCCAAATCACGAAGAGCTAGAAAATGTCAATATACTGAATTCTACATGGAAACCAGGTAGCAGTACACTATGGTTGGTCTCTTCCAACTTCTGGAAGATAAATTAGCATGGGAACAGCATCAGGAGCACTTAGGCCAGAGACAACAGGAACTTCTGTCTGACACACCCACCCGTCAGGACCAATAACGGTGGGCAGATTCTGGGTTGGCAGATAAGGACCAGCCTGGCCTCCTAAGGCAAATACTAATGTCTACCAAGGGTGATGGACAAACGGATCGTGCACTGTTACCTTCCACCCTTCCTTTCTAAGCTTCCCACTCCTGATTGGAGCTTGTGCTTCTTTTGTTTACAAATGGAAAACTTGGACCCCGGTGAAGTTAATGAAATTAATGCAAGGTCACAAAACTAATTAGTGGCTAAACCAGGATGAGTGGCTGAGTCTAGGACTTCATACCTGTATCAACACACCTAGGTGGGAAAAGACAAGGTTCATACAAGGTTGCTAATAATTCAAAGACAAAAATGCTAATTGTTCTGAAGAATGCTTGAAAGAGAACTTTTTGCTCCACAGTCCCACTGTCTCAGGAACTTTCACAGAAGTGATCCTGTGGTTCAAAACATATTCTTCCCTCTTTTGCAAAAGGAACCTAATATTTCCTGCCTATAAATCAGTACATCACAACATATCTCTTGAAACCTTATTAGTTGTGGTTAAAAAGAACAAAACAGCATCAGAGAGTAAGGAGGTGCTACGCAGAACTGTCAATGCATACTTCAGATAGGAAGTCCCCACTGTGTGAAGAAAAAGTTGAAAAATGTTTTTCACTGATATTCCACAGGACCTTTTAAAGTTTGAAAGAACAGTTGATGATATGAGAAAAAAAAAGAACTATCCTAATTAAGGATACAGAGAGAGAACCATATATTTTTACCTGTTCTAAGGTAAGCTGTTTAGAAATGGTATCATTCTCCAGTTTTTTAATTTTCTTCATCAGTTTGTTGACCTGGAATTCCTGCTCCTGCTCAAGATGCTGTTCTAGTTCAGCTTTCTCATGCTGCAACTGGAAAATGAGAAAAAAAAAAACACAGATGTAGAAATCAAGACACTCAAAAGCCATGATAATGCTGGCTCTAAAAGCTGGTTAAATCAAGTATAGGAGGTCATCATAAAAGTTACCTTACTCATTTCTGCTCGTATATCCAAATGTACACCTAGTAACCTGCTCCTGATTCCTCTAACTTATAACCAAAAATTATAGTGCATAATCAGAGGCACTTGTCTATATGTATGTGTACATATATATGTGTGTGTGCATACATACACATATATGTATATGTATATATATGTATATCAGAGCATCAAACCATGATTAAACCCCGATTTCAATTCTGAAGAACATGTAAGTGGTTGTCTCTATAGGGAAGAACTGGGGATGAGGAAAGGAAGGAAATGTACTTTTCAGAATATATATAACCCTTGGAGACTTGAAAATTTTTATACCTTGGCCATAGAAATTATTTAAAAAATAGAAATTTTGCAACTGTCAGTTTTATTAAATGAATTATAGTTACTTGCATTCATACAATGTGTGTAGAGAGGGAAGAGAAGTTACAATCACAAAAAATACCTGGTAAAGTATTCTGAATGCTGTTTACAAGTGTACTAGTAAGCATACTTGGCAAAAAAAAAACAAAAAATTAACTTCTTACAATGAGACCAACCTCACACCTTCTACATCTCTCCTGAAAACCAAGAGGGAAAGCCTCTTATTAATGCAATTAAAAGAGAAGGTTATGGTGCCATTGCAAAAGAAATCTTAAAAAAATGTACTCCAAACTTCAAAACCAAAAGAGAATAAAAGAAATCCAGTGGACACACAACAACTGGGGTTCTCATCAATCACTGTGCCTTATTTCCAATGTTCTCAGCTGGGAGGGGCTATTGATTCATAGTAGGGGTTAATAGGAATGAGCCACAGGGCCTGATATTTTCAGAACCACAGGCAAATTAAGCAAAAGTTATTAAAAACAATGAAGCACACAGTTTGATTTTGAGGTCTAAGATGATCAATGCTCCCTAATTCTAGCTCCAAAACCATTTCTTCAGGCAGGCACTTCGTACCAGGCTCGTGTTAGGCAGGCATGACAACCCCCATATCTAATGTGATAAAACAGGTTACCAGATCAAGGTAATTCAGCTGGAACGTGGCAGAGACTGGGGCCCAAACCATGCTCTAAACTCTAAACCAGAGTTCTCCTACCAGATCCTGAGCAAACCTCTGAGGGGCTGGCTAGACACTCTTCCATACACAAGTGCCTAGTGCTCCCCTGGCGTTCAGAAGGTTAAATGACTAAATACAAAGAACAATGAGTCATGGATGCTTGCCCAGGAAAAGCTGTCCCTTTGTGGACCCACAGAGGGTGCATTGCTCGAGAGAGCGCTCAGGGGGCCTAAAAACCTCAAAAGTTATACTTAATCATCTCACTTGAAACCATTTCCATTGCTATGAAAGTACCAGGCTTGGTGTTTAAGAAGAAAACAAAAATGTTCAAAACCTGACATCGTCTTTCAACACGGGAAATACTGACTAAACAGATGCTGGTTTTTCTCCAACTATTTTTTATATGCAACTCCTAAAAAGCTGGTCAACCTTGCAGGGACTCAGAAAGCAAGCAGATGTGAAGAGGTGCTTACAGTGACAAGTCTATTTTTAGCTAGCCCATTAAAATTCAGGTTCTGGAAGATCAAGCAGTAATTAAAAGAACTAAGAGGGATGGTCAGAGACTGAGAACAGTTCTCAGCATTTCAGACACAANCTAAGAGGGATGGTCAGAGACTGAGAACAGTTCTCAGCATTTCAGACACAAAGACCCCCAATGGAACAAGCATCAGTTATAAGGGAAAAAAATAGCACAACAAGTACTTTTTCATCTGACTCTTGCATTCTATAAAAATTACCTGTATGGTATGTCTTCCACCTGCACAGTTGAGGCAGAAGGGAGTGAAATCTATAGTTAAGACATTATCTTTGCCCTAAAATAGTTTATGAGTGCTAAGCTTAAATGATATCTACTGGTTTTAGAAAAATGAACTTTTGTCTTAAAACTTTTAAACATTTTGGATAGTTTTCTTTAAACATTAGATGTGTTTTCTTCCAATATGTTTTTAAAAATATTTTATCCATTTACTTGGCTGCGTCATTCTTACTTGTGGCACGCAGGATCTTGGCTGCATCATACATGATTTTTCACTGCACAAGGATTCTCTAGTTGTGGCACATGGGCTTAGTAGCTCCACAGCTTGTGGAATCTTAGTTCCCTGACCACAGATCGAACCTGTGTCCCCTGCATTGCAGGGTGGATTTTTAACCACTGGACTACCAGGAAAGTCTCTCCAATATGTTTTCAACTGCTGCCACTTTTATTTCAAAGAGCCTCCTTCTTCCCTTTTTTTTAGTGTTATGTTTGTGCTCTTAAGTATATTAAAACAATAAAGAGAAAGTGTTCATTGCTTAGTTGTGTCTGACTCTCTGCGACCCCATGGACTGTAGCCTGCCAGTCTCCTCTGTCCATGGAATTCTCCAGGCAAGAATACTGGCCAGGGGATCTTCCCAACCCAGGGATCAAACCTGGGTCTCCTGCATTGCAGGTGGATTCTTTACCGTCTGAGCTGCCAGGGAAGCCCAAAACAACAAAGGATGCAATCTAATGTCAAAAAATCTCTCCCCCAGACCCAGGCAGCAATTTGTCACAGAATATTAATCTGAGCAAAGGTAAGATTCTCATTGTTGTAGAGGAAAAGACTCATATACGGACAGATGGTCTAATACCATCAATAACTGATAAGGTATTTCCTTTAAGAATACTGATTCAGCTAGTAATGAAATCTACAAAAGCCCTCAATTTAAAAAGGCTTTTTCCTTTCAAGAGCTATACCCAAAGGAAAATGTGATGGTGAAGCTGTCATTACTAGAACTCAAGCGAGGTCCCTGGGTTATACGAACCATTTGGAAAATATCAAGCCATCCTGAGATATAACTCAACCAAAGACTCACAGTTTTCAACATCCCCCAAAGACAGACTGGGAACAAACAGTTTTGCTGCCTGTATTGTTCTGCCATCTCTCGGGTGACAGGCAATTTAGGGGCAGGGCACAGAGTTAGTGTTCCAAACAGAACACTAGAAACAGAAAATCTGGTTCTTCCTTGGAACCAAGAAACCACCAATAAAAAGAGAAATACAGCAAGAAATACACAAACAACTCCCCAGAACAATCATGAAGAGAGTTACATGGGCAAGAAGAGAGGGCAGAGAAAGAAATATTGAGCAATTAATAGCCACAGAGTTTTCCTCATAACAGTGCACCTGAGAAAATTTTAGAAATTATTTGTTTCAAACAGACACCAAGTAAACTCAAGCTATTTGGCCCCAAGAGGACTTGAACCAACACCCTGAATCCATCTATTTTTTTTTAGTTTTTTTTAATTTGGCTGCACCTCACAGCATACAGGATTTTAGTTCCCCAACCAAGGACAGAACCCATGCCCCATGCAGTAGAAGCATGAAGCCCTAACCACTGGACTGCCAGGCAATTCCCTCCACCTGCCTGGAGATGATTTCCTGGTGGCTCAGTGGTAAAGAATCTGCCTTCAGCAGAGGAGACCCAGGTTGGATCCTTTGGTTGGGAAGATTCCCTGGAGAAGGGAATGGCTACCCACTCCAGTATTCTTGCCTGAAGAATCCCATGGACAGAGGAGCCTGGTGGGCTACGGTCCATGGGCTCACAAAGAGTCAGACACGACTGAGCGACTAACACTTTCACTTTTACTTTTCAGGACCTATCAGAAAAACTAAACTCCAGTTTCATTTCTGAGTAGCATCTTCAACATGGGTGTAAAATTTAAGACATGATTTTAAATTTCTAATCAAAGGTCTTAACGTCTTAGGCATTTCTTAATCTTACTAATCAGGTCAGAGATCCTGAAGTGGAACAAAAATCATTCAAACTGAGAAGTAAATAGGCAAGTAAATTCTATTAAAGTGTTTGAAAAAAAAAAAAAACTCATTTGTTTGCCTTTAATGTATCTAAAGTAAAATGCTTAGGTAGATTAAAATCTGTTGTCAGAATCAGCATTTTCTGTAAATATATTTCTTACAAAGTCAATCTCACAGATTATGGAAGAGCTTTAGAACTCTTAACTGTGCAATATATTATAACATTAACAACAAGAAACCTTGTACAATGGAAATTACATAACTGACGATCCACAAGCAGCACATTTACAATGGAATTGGGGTTATATAAATAAAGATTTGTTCCCTGGGATTCAGCATGAAAACTATTTTAACGTAAGTGAAAAAGTCATAAGCAAAAACACAACCACAAACCTGGAAAATTCTAAGCACTCAAATGTGAGCATTTTCTCATTGTATCCACTTACATATGAAGTCCCAAAGCCAATTTCCAGCCCATTAAAAAACATGAGTATAGCTTTAAGTTGATCTAACACAGACTAGCCTTAAGCATCACTGAATTACCAATAATTGCTGTCTTTCTCATAATTTCCAAAGTTTTCTGGAGCCACTTCAGTGAACCAGGCTTCTTATATCAGAGATTCAAAAACTCTTCTTCACTGAATGGCTTTTATTCTGGGCAAAACCTTCTCCAGCAGGTACAGGCACCACTGCAGGTACACGTGGAGGCTGGCTGCTAAGCCAGCCCACCCACCCAGCATGCAGCAGGTTTGCCAAATCCCAGGCTTGGTGAAGCATGTTTGCAAGTCTGGGCCTGTTGTTAGTCCACCCAGAACCAAGGGAGGCACGCCGTCTTGCCACCAGCCCTGGACTTGGCTTTTTTGATTCAACTTGAGGATAAACCCAAGATGCTCCCAGTTCTGTTTACACTAGTCAATGCTAACCATTCTCTGTATGACCTGAAGTTTTGCAACCAACATCCCTCATTTATTGACAACTGCCAAGAACTAGTCATCTGCACTGAACCAAGTAAAGGCCACCATGGGATAGTGACTATATTAAGTCATTGGATTGCCAAAAATAATTG